TAATAGAGAGTCTTAGTATTATTATATAAGGGGGTAATTATATCTTAGTAATAGGTTAAGAAAATCTTAAAGGTAATTAAAGTCTATTAAAAGCTTAAGGGCTAAATATTTATTTAAGGTATAATAAATATTATATATATATAAAAGGCCTTATATTTATAGAAATAAGGTCTAAGTAAGGGCCTTATATTTATAGGAGTAAGGTCTAAGTAAGGGCTATATAATTTTAAAAGCAAGGTTTCTTATAGTTAGGATATTAAGAAGGGAAAATATAGGGAATATAAATAATATATAATAGGGGGTATATTAGGCTATAATATTAAGGTTATATAATATAATCTAATACTAATATAAACCTATATAACTAGTTTATCCCTTGGGAATCTTATAATTATTATAATGATAAGTAAGCGCTATAGATAAGCGAGCGCTATAAAAATCTCTTAACTTCTTATCTTTTTATTTAATTACTTAATTCTTAATAACTAAGTATATTATAACTAAATACCGAGGTAAATACCCTTCTTACCCTTTAAGCCCTTTAAAATAACCTAAAACTAAGTATTTAATATATTATTAATATCTATAAGGTTAATAAATAAAGGCTATATCGACGGTAGAATAGTATTTAATCTCGATATAATATTATTCCTAACTTATAGAAATTATCTAACCTAAAAGAATAAATTATTATTTAGTTTATTCTTAACCTAGATTTATAAGAATTTTCTCTACGGCTATATAATATTAAAGAAATAGCTAATTAATTACTTATAGACTACGATATATTACCTATTAATAAGCGCTAGGCTTCTAACTTTATTAAGTAATATAATAAGCTTAAGATATTTTTTTTTTATACATATAATTATTAAAGGGCTAAATATAAAGATTTAATTATTATTTATAATTAGTTTAAGCTTATAGAGAATATAATAGCAAAATATAATATTACTCTTATTAATATGTATAATTTTAATAAGACTAGCTTTATAATAGGCCTAATTATAAGCGGAATAGTTATTATAAGTATAAAAAGGTATAAAAAGGTAAAATTAATTTAGCCTAGAAACTAGGAATAGGTTATAATTATTAGGCGATTAATACTAAAGGCTAGGTAATCTCGCTATTTATTATAATTATATTAGACTTTTATAAGAAAAGTCTTTTATATAAATAATTCTAGGAAATTTAGCTTATAAAATATAAGTCTAATAATCTACTACCCTATAGTATATCCATAGCGCTTTCCAATAGTATACTTACCTAAGCCATAGCTACTTAGATAAGTAAGATATTAAGGAGTTATATATAACTTCCCTCTAGGTCTTCTAGGCTATATAGGGTAAGTCATATAACTTAGATTTAGGTCTTTATCTAAAGACTAATAACTCTATTAAAGCTAGCCCTCTTATATAGGTACTTCTTTTCTTATTTCTAATATCTAAAATATAAAACCTTATAAGTTTTATTTTATTTATGCTATAATTCGGCTATTTCTTATTCGATTTATATATACTCTATATAGTTAGATAGCTCCGGAAAAGGCCCATCCGATAGCATAATCTTTATCTAAATCGGACTAATAGATCCTAAGTAATTAGCTATAAAAGAATAGCCTTCCCTTAGAATAATTTTCCTTCCTTAGCTCTTAATATATATATCTAATATAACTAATAAGATTATTAATAAGAAGCTAGCCTTTTACCTTATACCTCTATTTACTTTATAACCTATCTTTTTTAGCTAATAATTTACTACTTAGCTAATTAGCTATTTATTAAGACTAATTCCATTGCCTATTTACCTCCTATCTCTATTACCTACCCTATAGTCTTTAAAGACTATATAGCCTCTATTCTTTAGTCTTTTATAAATTATAAGCTAATATTACCTCGCTAGCTAATATAAAGAAAGTAACCTCTTAGGCGATTAGGCTATTGCGATAACTTAAAATAGCTAGACTAATAATAATATAGGTCTTAAATAGCTAAAGTACTTTAATCGGCATATAAAGGCCTAATTAACTAGTAGCTATTACCTTTTAATCCTTAATAGGTATAAAAGCTATTACTTAGCTACTAACTAGTATTGCTTATATAGGATAAAATTTAAATTTCTACAAGTCTTATTAGCTCAATGGCTGACTTTGAGGTATATTATAAGGAAAATAATATTATTATACTCTATATGCCCCCTTATTTGTCTTATCTTATTTACTCTAGTATCTTAATATTAGGTGCTTTAGGCCGCTTAAAAAGGCCTATAATTAGTAAATTAAGTATTTAATTAAATACTTTATAACTTATATTTCTAAGCCTAACTTCCTTCTAGCTTTTTATATTACCTATAAAGCCGCTATAATAAAAAGCAATTTTAAAGGTAGTTTTAGGGGAGCTAGGCTTATTCCTTTAGACCTAGAAAGTATTATATTAAAGCTTAATATATAACTATAGACTCTAATATTAGTTAAGGAAGAGGTTAATTAGCCTCCCTAATACTTAGGTCTTAAAGACGCTAAAGACTATCCTTAAGGCTACTTCTTAGACTAAATACCTTAAAAGGCAAATTAAAAGGCATTAAAATAGCTCTCTAATATCTATTCTTAAGGCTCTTAAGTTATTTTCTAAGGGAATAAAGGCAATAATATATTAAATAGTATTATTAAAGTCTAAGAATTAGATCCTTTAATAATTAAATAAGGCCCTTAGTAAGCGGCGTAGAGTAAAAAAAACCCGCCTATAGGATAGAGGGAAGATAACTATAAAGAAGGGAAAGGAAGTGATTAATTAGATAGATATTAATACATAGGTAGTAGCTAAATCGCTAAGAAATAATAATTAAGGAGGGTTAATGCGACTAAAAGAAACCCACTATGGAATATATAATAAGACTAATTATAATAAAAGAATATATTAGATAATTATTATAATATCTAAGTATTAGTATAGTAATTTATTTTAATTAATTAAATACTTTATTATGTTTTTATTTAGACTTTTATCTTAATAGTTCAAAAAAGTGCGGCGCTCGCTTATCTGCGGCGCTCGCTTATCATGCACGTTGCTGTTTTTACTAGAATTTATATATACTAGTAAGTGGAGGAGATAAGGTTCTGTCAACAGCTTATTACTAGGCCAGGGTTCCTTTACACGATCAAGTTGTTATTATTAAGTAGGAAACTGTAAGACGCTATAAACAGAATCAGCGGGTAGGATCGGGTTGCACAGGTAAGACGGGTGACACGGGTGACACGGGGAAGACGGGTGACACGGGGAAGACGGGTGACACGGGGAAGACGGGTGACACGGGGAAGACGGGTGACACGGGGAAGACGGGTGACACGGGGAAGACGGATGGAATGAAAACGGGGCAAAAGGCGCCGGGGAAGAACCGACAAGCAGCATTCTCCTGCGAAGGCCAATGCACAAGAAATTTACATTCTCCTCGGACATATCTTGGGCCACGAGTTTAAGCGTTGTACAACCTCATGACGGAGACGAGGATAATATATAAACAGTTAGTTTCTTGATGGGGTAAAAGGCATTATTATCCTATTCCATACACGAAATCAATTCATTATGGCATCATCTTTTGAACTGTTGCTAAATGAAGCTATCAAAAATCTCGATGTCCCGTCAATAGCAGTTGAAGCCATACGGCGTGATGGTAATTACATCCTTCCCGCAAGCACCTACCAATCGCAGCTAATATATCGGTTGAGGATCTCGAATCCTTTCCATGTATTTAGGATCGCCTTCACCACTCTTCACTTCCCAAAGCGCCATCGGGAATAACACTCTGTTCACATTAGCTTCTTTGACCAAACTTCCTACATCAATTGCTGCTCTACAACTGGTGGAAAACGGCACCATCGGGCTTGACGATAATGTAACTGACTTACTCCCGACCCTCAAGCGACAGCGCATTTTAAAAGGGTTCAAGGTAGATGGAGAGCCGATCCTCGAGGATCGCACAAATCCCATCACACTTCGTCACCTGTTAACTCATTCGGCGGGTACAGGGTATGATTTTTCGAATGATGAACTTCGCAGAGTCCAATCCTTCCATGGGGAACATTTGAGTGCCAAACCAACTATTGAGCAGCGTTTCAATCTGCCATTATTATTTGAGCCTGGTGAAAGCTGGAATTATGGCTGCTCCATTGATTGGGTGGGAAAGCTTGTCGAGGTACTTACAGGCTTGAAGCTCGAAACATATATGTCGAAACATGTGTGGCAACCACTCGGAGTCACTAGCTTCACGTTCTGGCCACATCAACGGGATAGCGCAGCGAAACAGCTGGCAATCTTGGCAGAACGAGACGACGAGACAAAGCATCTGAGACCACTTCCTGAAGGTCTCTCCTTGAATATTGGCGCCACTGACTGTTTTGGTGGGCAAGGCGGATATTCTACAGCCGAAGACTTTCTCCAGCTACTTTATTCGCTTCTGGCTAACGATGGTCGCATACTGAAACCTGAGACAGCGGACCACCGCAACGAGCAAATCTGTGCTGAACCGCAAAATGGAAGATCCATCTTGGGCAGTCGGTACCTTTTACCCTGGAGAAACCTACGATTGGAGTCTAGGAGGATTACTCATCGAAACCGCTGACCATGGTTGCTCGCTGTCGCGGGGCTCAAATACACTGGTTTGGAGCGGGGCTGCGAACTTGTTCTGGGTAACGGATCTCAGGTCTATTTTCACTTTAAGACTAAGAAACGCTGATTTGGAGAGTAGTTTATTGATCGTCAAAACGGAATATGTGGATTATTTGCCACTCAAGTCATGCCACCTGCTGACCATGTCTCACAAGCCTTGATCAAAGCATTCCACGAGGAAGTGTACAAACAAATTTCGGAAGATGCAGCGCGACAATGTTAGTTCCCAATGGATTAGCTAGAATTTCATCAAGCTCACATTGACGCAATTGGTTCTTTTCCCTGGCCTGGAATTTTATCTTGAGTATATTAATACAATGGAAATTTCGACTTACATCGTTACTACCCTTTGTCTAATGGGGTCCTTACAAGACATGAAGCCGTGCACTTTCATGCATTGCGTCCTTGTATCATAGACGGTTCTTTAACCACGTTACCAACGCTTATGTATCAATGCACCTTGTTCTACATAGCCGTCACTAAATATCTTTAAGCCTCAATCTTCTGATTTGTCAAGTTCATGGAGGATTCTCTCGCTTCAAGGCCGCGTGACTTGAATGCTATATGGAGAGAAGAGAAATCCCTGTTACAAGCGGAATAAAACTTCCTTAGCTGCGTATACTTATCTTCCTTGTAAAAGAGATCTATATCACCAATGGTTGCCCGCACATCCCCATATTGATGTTGCAAAGGTCAGTTTCAAGGTTGTGGGGGTGCTTACATGCTCTTCCGTTGGGTAATAGTATTTGCAATGAATTCCGCCATGCTTATTTGAATGGAGTCGCAACCTACAGAGGCTACAGCTACTCTAGCAAACCAACGGAATCTGGTATTTAATATCAATAGACTGGCCAAAAACCCTACTTGGTCTTGGGTGCTTCATCGCTCAAGAGCCAGCTAAACTGGGCTAGTCATAAAGCCGATACAAGAGATGGTTTAAAACTAATTGCCTCCAACTATACGATGTGGCAGATGGAGAGTCTACTACGCGACGAAAGACGCGTCCTCTACCTCAACTGCGGGTAAGCACTGAGAGCGGCTTGGCCCCCCGTATGGCAAAACAAGACCTTTTTCCCACTGAACTCACCAGACCTCGCAGTATGTAACATTCCAGTGAATGCTTTTCCCGTGTAAACTGGGTCTGTCAGAATTCCCTCCAGTCTTGCCAACTCTTTGATGCCATAGGAAGTGAGCTCATCGAGATGTCCATATGCACCTCCGAGGTAGGAGCTGTTCACCTCAAAATCATCTCTGGTGATTTCGTCGGGGGAGAGTCCGATTTTAGAAGCCGTAGCTTTGGCGATACCCAATACTAACTCCGTCGTCTCCTCCTCTGACGGGTTAAATATTGAGAATCCAATCAATCTCTTCACCGAGGTCTGTCGTCCCACCTTTTGTGCAAGTTTGAAACCAGCAACCATCCCCCCTAATGTTGAGCCGGAGCCCGCTGCTACCGCAATAACGTCAAATGTCACACCGAGTATCAACTCTTGCTCAAGCAACTCAAATGCCCAGCGGGCAAATCCTAAGCCGCCTAACGGATGAGTACTTGCACCTGTAGGGATAGAATACGGCTTCCTCCCACGCTTCTTGAGGGTTCCAATGACGAACTCTTCACCCGTGTCAACAGCGAATCTTTCGGCCCCGATGATATCCTGTACTTGAACATTGCCGGCATAATTGTAGTCGGCATCCTTCGCCTCGGCCAAACTGCATGGATACAGAGCAACCTGTAATGTCAATAAAACGGACCGTTTGATAATAATCTGCTGTTGACCTACTTGAAGGCCGAGTCGGGCTGCAGCCGCAGCAGTCTGACTCATGTGGTTCGATTGGATCCCGCCCGTAGTCACAATCGTATCTGCACCCTGAGCAAGGGCATCAGCTAGTACGTACTCGAGTTTCCGAACTTTATTGCCACCAAGCGCCAGGCCAGAGTTGCAGTCTTCATGCTGAATCCACAGATGTGTTCCGGAACGGAGGGTTGCTGTTAGCTGCGAGAGCGGCTCAATGACCAAAGGCCGATCAAATAATAATTTGGCGCGAGGAATTTCGCCGAAGGGTGATGGAAGATTTGCCATAGTCAGTGGTTGTAGGACGACTAGATAATAGTGATAGTGGAATTCTGCACTTTTCACTGGCATTTATTCGAGTCTTGACTGGCGGCATGTCACAAAACCTGTGCCATGAACGGAGTCCAGATTTAGAGCCCGCGATAAGCAATTAATAAGCAGGCTGCTACCGATGGCGACTGATACACTGCGCCAATTCAATTCTGGCTAGAAGCTTCAGGTTTAGGTTCAGGCTCTATTCCTACTCGGTTTTAGCCGCCATCTCCCAGCAGCCATGCCCGGTAAGTAGGATTTGGCCGACGGCCGAAGCGCTCTGAATGTGTCAGACAACTAGCTCCATGGGGAATGTCTGGTACTGCGAACCCCGCTTCAGACGTCATCATCGTCATGGGACGCGAATCAGACGTTCCGGGCGGGGGACATCATCGTCCCCTGCGTAAAAGAGCGAGAACGACGAGGGCAATGCAATCAGAGCAACAAGAATGTGATATAGAATAGCAGGAGGAGGAGAGCAGCGAGGGGGTGCCGAGCAACAATCGACCCAGGAAAAGGACCACGCCTAAGACGGCCGATAGTATGACCGACGCGATTCAGGGCCTGAAATAACTCCTAGAATAAGACTTTAATAAGAAAATTAAAATCATGAAAATAGAGTTCTAGCTCGAGTTCACTAAGCTTAGTGACCGTATGACTGAGGAAGTCGCTAGGACCACGGCCCGGATGGCATAGGAATTGTCGCAGGTGCGAGAGTAGCTTACTTAGGTTTGTAGCGAGCTGGAGCACACCCGGCTATAGCTAGACGCAATGACTGGAGCTTAAGGAGCGCCATCGGCTGGCCGGTCATATGTAGATGTCGCTAGAATCACACCGCCTATTAGTATTACCACTCAACCTCCATCTACGGTTCGATCGGCAACCCCAGAACTAGTATTCTGCACAGTAGACACATCCAGGGTGCCCGAGGATCATATCGGAGACGCTACGCCAGCAATGCTTCGCAGAACCATTAAATAGGAAATGCAAACGTCTAGCAACCAACCTAGTTGGCGATATGTTGCAGTGACCAGAGATGGACGAAATGCCAACCGCCTGAGGGTCATCGGTAGGAATGAGGAAGAACTAAAGAAGATCAAGACCATTATTAAGGCCAAGAAGGCTCCAGGTGCGAGAGTCCTCCGAGACCAACTATACCCAGTCAAAGTTAATAATATTAACCATGCGGCCATCCTCGACCAGGAAGGCAAGGTCCTTCTAGGAGCAATAGAAGCTTTGGGCCAGGAGAATAAAGTCCAGATTGCCAAGATAGCCTAGTTGAGTCGAAAAGACAGCGTAAAGGCATATGGTTCTATGGTGGTATACCTCACCAAAAACAGCGATGCCAGGAGACTCCTACAGGAACGCTACTTCCTTGCAGCGGTGAATCGGCATATACCAGCGCGTTTAAGCGGAGAACCGGACCGATACAATGCTACAACTGCCAGGAGCTTGGCCACAAGGCCTTCTCGTGCAGCAAGAAACAGGTATATGCGAGATGCGCCGTCGAAGGCCACCATCACAGTGAGTGCCAGACGCAGGTACCCAAGTGTATACCCTATGGTGGACCGCACGAGTCGTTCAGCAGAAGCTGCCCGAAACTCTATCCAACCCGGCATGAGTAGGATATTTCAGGTGATCCAATTGAATATAAGAAAGCAGGATATAGTACACGAAAGCATAATAAACGACAAGCGACTCCAAAATTATGCAGTTTTGGCGATCCAAGAACCACAGGCACGAAAAGTCGATAGCAAACTACTTACAGTCCCTATGGGGCACCCCAAATGGATCAAAATGGTCCCCACAATTTGGAGAGATAGCAGATAGGCGGTCCGGAGCATATTATGGGTGAACAAGAATGTGGAGGCAGAGCAGATACCGATTGAGTCACCGGACATGACGGCAGCCGTCATAAGGCTCCCTAAGCGGCTAGTCCTAGTAGTATCAACTTACGTGCCAGGAGGAGATACTCAGGCGCTACGAGACACTTACAACATTCTACGCCAGGTTATCACAGACACAAGAAGAGAAGCTAGTAGGATCGTAGATGTGGTGGTTACCGGAGACTTTAACCGGCACGACCAGCTCTAGGGAGGAGATAACGTTTCTTTAGTGAGACAGGGTAAAGCGGACCAGATCATTGACCTTATGCACGAACTTAGCCTCACCAGCTTGCTCCCCAGAGGAACGAAGACGTAGAGTGACGGAGTCTTTGAGACAACGGTCGACTTAGTCTTGGCATCGGAGGAGTTGACGGCATCAACTGTCCAATGCGCGATTCACGGGACGGAGCACGGCTCAGATCATCGGGCGATTAACACGGCCTTCGACATTTCGGTTCCCGGACCAAAACAACAGACTCGGCTTCTCCTAAAGAATACGCCATGGAAAGAAATCAACGCGAGAATTACAAGCGCGCTAGAGGCATTGCCGTCGGAAGGCACCGTACAGGAGAAAACTGACAGGCTGATATCGGTGGTTATGGAGGCGGTTCATTCCCTGGCACCAAAAGCCAAGCCGTCGCCGTACGCCAAACGGTGGTGGACGACGGATCTGACGCAGCTTCGCCAAATATACACGAACTGGAGGAACCGCGCTCGAGCCGAGAGGCGGGCAGGGCAAACCAGGATAGAGCTGGAAGAGATGGCGAAAGGGGCTACAAAGCAGTATCATGACGCCATCAGACACCAAAAGAAGAAGCATTAGAACGAGTTTCTAGCGGACAATGATAACATCTAGAAGGTGGCCAAGTACTTGAAGTCTGGGGATGATACGGCATTTAGCAAATTTCCGCAGCTGGCCAGGGCGGATGGGACATCCACGACTAACCACAGGGAACAAGCTGAAGAGCTACTATCCAAGTTCTTTCCTCCCCTGCCGAACGACATCGAAGACGAAGGCCCTAGGCCTCAAAGAGCCCCTATAGCGATGCCAGATATTACAACAGAGGAGGTAGAACGACAACTGTTCGCGGCAAAGTCTTGGAAGGCCCCCGGGGAAGATGGACTGCCGATGTTTGTTTGGAAGCAAGTATGGCCAGTCGTCAAGCCCTAGGTGATGGCAACATTCCGGGCTTCATTGGAAGAGGGAACGTTCCCCCACCAGTGGAGGCACGCAAAGATCATACCGCTCAAAAAGCCCGGTAAAGGAGACTACACGGTGGCAAAGGCCTGGCGACCGATTTCCCTACTAGCTACACTCGGCAAGGTGTTAGAGTCGGTGGTCGCGGAAAGGATCTCACATGCTATGGAAACGTACGGCTTGCTCCCGACGAATCATTTTAGAACCCGCAAGCAACGATCAGTAGGACAAGCGCTTCTGCTCCTATAGGAACAGATCTATGCCGCTTGGCGACGTAGACGGATCGTGAGCCTAGTCAGTTTCGATATCAAGGGAGCTTACAATGGAGTGTAGAAGGAAAGGCTTCTTCAGAGAATGAAAATACGTGGCATCCCGGAGCAGCTAGTTGGCTGGGTAGAAGCGTTTTGCTCCAATCGCACGGCATCGATCCTTATCAACGGAGAGTCATCGGAAATTCGAGACCTACCACAGGCAGGCTTACCCCAGGGCTCTCCGCTATCTCCAATCTTATTTCTTTTCTTCAACGCAGATTTGGTACAGCGGCGGATCGACAGCAACGGAGGAGCGATCGCGTTTGTGGACGATTTTACAGCATGGGTCACAGGGCCAACAGCGCAGAGCAACCGTAAGGGAGTCGAAGCAGTTATCAAAGAGGCTTTGGATTAGGAGAGGAGAAGCGGCGCGACATTTGAGGCGGACAAGACTGCTATCATACATTTCACCCGGAAGGAGTCCAAGTCCGACTCAGAGCCCTTTATGATCAGGGGGCAGACAGTCCAACCGAAAGACCGTGTCAAGATCCTAGGAGTTATCATGGACGCCGGGCTCAAGTACAAGGAACACATCGCCAGGGCAGCATCCAAGGGGTTGAAAGCAGCAATGGAACTAAAGAGGTTAAGGGGCTTATCACCAGCGACAGCAAGACAGCTATTCACAGCTACAGTAGCCCCGGTTGTGGACTACGCCTCCAATATGTGGATGCACAGGTGCCAGGACAGAATCATGGGACCAATTAACAGGGTTCAGAGAGCGGGAGCCCAGGCTATCGTTAGAACGTTTAGTACAGTGGCGACGAGCGTAGCGGAAGCAGAAGCTCATATCGCTTCAGCACAACAGCGGTTCTGGAGGAGGGCAGCCAAGATGTGGACGGATATCCAGCATATATTTCTGACTGAAGCCCGAGGCCAGGGACCGAGAACAAGGTCGAGTAACAACTAGATGCTGTATATATCCCCTCAGCCGGTCGAGAGGGAAGAAGGCCCCTGTGGCGACGGAGAACAGGCTGGACAACCAAGTCCGCGAAGCCTTGGAGATATTGAGCTCGTCGGCCAAGGAGTGAGAGAATGACGTCGAAGCCGGTCACGAACTATCCCGGTGAGAGATGTCAAGCAAATGCAAGTGGCCATGGCCGACCAAAGAATCTCAATGTCGATCTTGACACCACTACCATCACTTCTTTTGAAGGAGTTTACAATAGAAATTGGGTTCTGGCCGGAGCTTCGGCCTCAAGGCGGATGAAGACACGGAGGTCCTCTCGGGGTGAGGCGGTAGTCGTCTATTGCCCCTGGCGACGAGAGGGGGCGGCTTGTTGTTGGCGCTGATGGGTTGGATGGTACGAAATATTGGAAGAACTGAGAGTTCCCCCTTAACTTCAGGATCAAGATTAAAGTTTGAAGTCCTAGATGGGATCATTCAAAGATATAAGGCCCCAAAGGGCCTCTCATTGAGATCATGAAGACTTAGAAAAGAATAATTACAATCACGACAACAAGAACTACCCTGCTGTCGAGCGCACTCAGCATCCCTGCGTGACACAACAACACGAAATATGGACTATGATGTCCTTATGCTAGCTTTAATTACGGCATAGCACCGCACTGTTACAGGAACATATGTTTCCAAAATAGGAAGGTGAATATTGGCCAGCGATATGACCTGGTTTTCAAGAGTCGCCGGTCTGAGCTGAACAAACAGGGCTACTCCGACCTCACACTCTTCTGCGGCGGCAAGGAATTTCACGTCCATCGAGCTGTCATATGTCCAAGATCAGAATTCTTTGCGAAAGCTTGTCAGGGGCCATTCAAGGTGATACACTAATACTATTTCTTCTTTATCCCCCCCTCTATTTATCTCTGTGCTCTTGAAATTCGGCACCCGCGCATAACAAATATACGTTGAAACAGACATCAGACCCGTTCTAACTTGATTTATTCCTATCCAGGAGGGCATTGAAAGGTACATTCGACTGCCAGAAGATGATTCTAACATAATCGACATCATGATTCAGTATTTTTACTCTCTTAACTATGAGGTCTCAGCTAGTGGTGTGGATACAGGAGCAGACCTTGAGACACATCATCAAACGGCAGAGACCAGTGATGGCTCGCTTGATGAATCAGGGTTTGACTTGGTAGTTCATACTAGGACCTATAACCTTGTGGAAAAATATCAAATCATCGGACTTAAGACCCTCGCACTCCGAAAATTTAGGGACGCGGCATCAGAGAAATGGAACTCGAGTGGTTTTCTGGACGCAGTTTACGAAGCGTATGGGTCCGCGCCGGAGAATGACACAAGTTTGAAGGAGGCCATTGTGGAGATCATCGTCGAGCACAAGGAACTGTTAGATAAGGATGGAACACGACGTATGCTTAAGGAAGTAGACTTTTTGGCTTATGATGTGTTGATGTACGAGCATCTTTAGAATACATACCTTTGGCAGCCTATGGCCAGATGTCTATCACTTGGCTAACTAAGCCTTCAGTGGCAACTCCTCTCGAGCATGGAACCTAGAGTAGGTAAGGTACTGCACAAAGTGATGTCACCACTCTTTGTGCCTCCTCCACCCACCGATGCATGCGGGCGTCTGCCGGTGTCTCCGTTTAGCACATTACTAAGGAACCTATGGATTCAAACTGTCTGCGGTCTCCCTGCACGCGTGCCGCGAATAAATAAAACATCTATGGCGTAATCGATGATATAATAATTAGCGTCGTGCCCAGGGCAGCTCAAAAGGGGGGGGGGGGGGACGCTTTCAAGGGTTGTGGGGGATCTCTAGTTACGACGCGTGGGCCGCCGCTCCGCCATACGATGACGATGATGACTCCCAGGACAACTACTCCTTAAGTTCTGGGAACTTCAAAATCCCAGTACATTCAAGATGTTAAATGTAAAATATAGAATCCTTCAACTTCTCATGAATCCTCACATCTTCATTCCTAACTTGAAACCCCCCGTCTGACTTCTAGCTGACGATGGCTCCGCGGATTGTGTCGGCGTGTCAAACACACCACTCAGATAGCACCTAGTCCTCTCACAGACAATATCAGCATAGTAAGCAGGCATACACAGACTGACTGCCTTGGTCGTACGCCCATACATATAGCACAAGCTCTGCGTTAGGTCCTCAAGCACATCCGCCACGTTGTTGAATTCCGGCGGCAACGCCTTGGCGTAGCGAGCTCGGAAGATCTCATCGAGCACGATAATGTAGTGCCCCGGACGCGCGGTGCCCTGGATGGCCGCGTGCGCTTGGAGGAAGAAGTCCCAGTTATGCGCCTCTGTGACACCCCGGTCGATGATGGTGCTAGGTTTCGGGTTGCCGGACCGGTCGGCGTCGGTTTCCTTTGTCGGATAAAATCGCGTGTGGTGACGCTTACCGACAATGACGATAGTGAAATGTGGGAGGCCCCTTTTCTGGTCAGAGGCCGGATACACCTCCGTACATGCCTTGCGCAGCCGCGGAAGTTCCTCGTTGACGACTTTGTCATACTGACCCTCGGAGACGCCGTCACGGTATACCAGGATATTCTTAGGCAGGGACTGGTGGTATCCTTTGGTCACTGCAGGGATAACTAACCAATGAATTCGCGAAGGTTGATAGGTACATCATTTCCCACCCATATTAGCCTGTGACTGAAGTCCTTGCGATCTCCAAGCTACAAAATAAAGGCCCTCGTTACTTTTATTCACTTACTAATTGTCATGCGTATATAAGATTCCTCACGAAGAGTCGAGGTACGTGGGGTTAGTGGGGCGTTGTACCTAATGGAGCCTTGGCACAATCGAGGAGATAGAGGGAACACATCAATCACGAGGTCAATCATGTCAACCGTCATGTCAAATCAGACTGCCTAGCCTGTCAGGGCTGTCAGCAGGGGTATGTGCGAGCAAAGGGGCACGAATGGAATCTTCTTACAGAGGTCAGCGGCAATAAGAAGCGGCCGAGTGTGCGTAAGCAGACTAACTTCGGCTGCCGTATCTGTGATGTAGCAATCTGCCCTAACCAGCATTGTTGGGACTTCTATCACCAAAAAGGTTGAGTGGGAAATTAAGTACCAATAATTTTACGCTTTGTTATTGGATACAACCGCTCACCGTGATCTGGTCGGAGGTCTCTACGCACTCGGGGGATAACTACGGGCGTTATAGGTGTGAGGCAGCGTAATCGCAACGGGCAATTGTGATTACTCGCGGATCTTTTTAGTTTAACGGTTAATTAGTCTATTACATCAAGGTGCATGCCTTTACCTTGCTATATAACCCTAGTTAAAGTAGCCTGGTCTATATTGGCTAAAGGAGAACTGCTAATATCACAATCACTCACCTCTTTCCAGCAGTCTGTTTTCCCAGTTACAAACTCTATAATAGCTAATTGCATCTTTATTTACTATGGAACTAGCAGCTCTATCACTCTGATGTCTTTGATAGGAAGGGTCTACTTGATCTCAGAGTTGGGAACGGCGACCTCCAACGTGTGAAGAGGACCATGTAACTGGTAGCTCTGACACTCCGATGTCTTTAATAGGAGGGGTCCACTTGATCTCAGAATTGGGAATGGCGAGCTTCAAAGTGGGAAGAGTCTGGAATAGAGTAGCTACATAACAACATCAGTGCCTTGAAAAACATAGCCAGGAACGGATTTATAACGTACAGAAAACAGCTTCAAGCTCGGCTCGAGCGAGGGACTCTGCGATGCACCTATGATCACCCCATCCAAAGCCAAGAGCCTCTTCAGACCCTCGCTTGCGGAACATGTCAAACACATTCGGATCAGAGAAGACGTCGGGATCTCGGTTCGCTGCTTGATTCGAGGCGATGATACCTTCGCCTGCCTTCACCTCCTAAAGGATTGTCAGCGATCGCCAGGGCCAAAAAGTCGTATGAGGGTATGGGGGTGACGAACTTGTCCGCGGATCTTCACATCGACCTTAGCGACACGCCGGGTAGCAAACGAAGACGCGGTATGGAAGCGACATAGCTCCTCGACGAACGGTTTGGACAGAGAGGGATCCCGAATCAAGGCGTCCAGTTGATCAGGATGGTCCAGCAAAGTTATCACACCCTAAAGCACAATGGTTAGCTTTCGCTGCAACTCATATCTAGAAGGTTTGAACATACCAAGGCGATCATGTTGATCATGGTCAGGTTCCCTGCGACTAGGAGAAGGAACGATATTTGCACAACATCCTTCTTATCCAATTGACCATTTGCAAGCTGATTAGCGACTAAAGAGCTTATCACGTCGTTACTCGGTTCTGGTGACTCTATCTTCTTGTCAATGAGTTTTGCGAAATAATCCAGAAGCTCACTGTCAAGCCGGTTAAATTTCAGTTTATAAACAGCTTCATGAATGCAAGAGCTTACGTGTTGGCATCTTGAGCCGCGCTCGCGGTAGCACTACCATTAGTACGAGTAGCATTACACTTGGTTAAGTAGTCGACGTCCCTAAGGGGAACACCGAGAATGTCATAGATAATCTGTACTTATTAGTTTTTTCCAGTAAGCCAACTTATAAAATTAGAGGATCGCTCAGTTCCGGGTGAGACGCACATGTGACGGAACGCGAAGGGCGAAGTGTTCAACGAGATCAATGCTGTTCTGTCCTTTTCGTGCGTTTATAAACTCGTTCAGATAGTGCTGAACGACACCTTTGATCCACGGTTTACGTTGCTCCACATACTCGGGTGTGAAGAACGCCGCTACCATTTGCCTGGGAGCAGGGTGAGCCTGGGCATTACTACCACTCCAATAGAGTAGATGAAAAAATACCTCTGATGCATATGGTCAGGAGGGTCCATGTCGACAAAGGTCGGGCAGTTTTTGGCTGCTGCTTTGCCCCCAGCTGACATCTCAGGGAACCCTTCCTTCTGGCGATTCTGTCACATTGCGTATTAGCCCCCCTGCAGACTTGTTTGGTAGAGCAGACAAAGTGAGAAGATACCTTGGACAGTCGGGGATCAGTCAAGACCTCGCGAACATCTTTATGCTTCACCACGAGCCATGGATGAGACTTATCCCAAAGCTCGACACGAGCCACGGGGCAAGAAGTGAGACGTTGCTGAAATTCAGGTGCGGGTTCGGCGCCGTTCTGACGAGCGAAAGGGAAGTGCGGATCTGTTGGAGACGCCGAACATGTCAGCGACCTATCAAAAGCTGGTGGAAGTAATTCTCGGTAGACGAACCAGAGGCCATGACTACGTCGTTGAAAGAAGTGGCAGCTCGTGCACTAGTCAATGTCAAGTCAAGATGGCGAAGCGATTCAAAGGCGTGAAGATGTGAACTTGGTTCCTTTTATGATGATGATCCCAAGTAAAATCGGTGGAGGCGAAATGAAAGGGATCTCTTACAGGTCTGAAGCTGGGCCTTTTTAACTTTCAATCAAACGGAAAGCATCTGCCGAGTCAGTTGTATGCTTCTGGTAACGATCTGGGCCCTAACCCTTACAAACACCCCTTCCCCGTGATATCCGTTCCAAGAGTGGGTTGAGCAAGTTTCTCGGTTCAAAGTCTCGTACTTCCGGAGAGGTCAGGTCGCCGGCACAGTAAGTGTGTAGCATTGCATCTCGGGCCATTCAGGAAGTACCGAGTGATGCCGACCCCTGGACCAATCCTAAATGTTGTAATTATAATCCCGGTATAGCCGCATTAGCCGTTCATCAACGTCATTATTTACCCATTTGTCCGAATCGTCCATCATATAGGATGGACTTTTGCACCTGTAGATTTCGCAAAAGTACCGCCCGGCTAATCGCATAAACAATTCTCATTCGTCATAATGGTCAAGGCAAGTAAGTGGATTCAGGTTTCACACAATCATTCGAGCCTGCAGATGACTAAAATCGCATGGTGACGTGCAGTTGCTACTGTTCGAGGTGATTCCACCGTCTTCGGCACCATAACCTTCGAGCAGCTCGACGAAAGTTCCCCGACGACAATCTCCTGGAACCTCCGCGGCAACGATGCCAATAGCCAAAGAGCATTTCATATCCACGAGTTTGGTGACAACACCAACGGATGCACCTCTGCTGGACCGCATTGTACGTTTGTGACTATACTATTGACTACCTTGTACTGACTGGCGACTGACATTGGGCAAGTCAATCCTTTCGGGCGTACTCATGGCGCTCCATCTCATAATGAGCGACATGTTGGCGACTTGGGCAATTTCCAGACCGATTCGAGCGGCACCTCAATCGGTACAATGACAGACCATTTGGTGAAGCTCATCGGCCCAGAGAGCGTTCTCGGTGTACGTCTCCCTTCACACAGCTATAGTTGAGGAAAAGCTTGACTGACCAAGCCATCAGAGAACCATCGTCATCCATGCCGGGACCGACGACCTGGGGCAGGGACCCAATGAGGAATCTAAAATTACAGGGAATGCTGGCGGAAGGCCCGCTTGTGGTAAGAACCTTACTCAGACGTCATTTTTCGTGTTATTGAGTTTTTATAACAACTCATAGGCGTTATTGGTATATCTTCTAGCGGTTCTGCCAACCCTAGGCCTCGCCGTCCTGTGGAAACAGCCCTGGCAATGACGATGAGCCACTTGTAGCACCGGTATATAATTATATTGGATCGGCCCGAGATTCTTTTAGTTTAGGTGAAGAAAGGGAGCATTATTTCTGAAATCGCAAGTTAAAATCAAACATCCAAGGACTATACTTTGTGGTTAATGTGGTAAATCGTGTGCGCGTTTCGTGATTCTGTAGTGACAAAGCGCTGTCGATAGGTGGAGTCTAAAAGCTGTCTGATGGAGGCTCAAGGTTTCCAATGCAGATACGAGCCAGTGACGCATTCGTTATTTGGCCATGATAACTAACTTCAGTTGGCTGCTGTGTGATACATACCAAGCTAATACACCGCTTTTTCGGTGACGAAGCTGTTAAGATGAATAAAATCCCGATAGTGGCTGCTAAGTATAACGACCAAATGAATCACGTTGACCGTGGTGACCAATTGAGGTCATATTATAAGTATGATCATCCCCTTCGCCGTGAACCGTGGCAGGCACTTGCATAGACTTTCCTCCTTGACGTGGCCCTTATTAATAGCTATATTGCTTGACTTCATGGACCGCAGCCAAATTGGAAGAGATATTATAATCAGATGAATAGCGAGAGTACATTTATAACGAATTATTTAATGCCTATGGTCATGATAGTCAGGCAAGGCAGCGATACCGACCAGGAGACGAGCGTGATATACAAAACCCCGAATTACAGAGGGAACACATTAACCGTGAGATCAATCATATCGACCGTCATATTAAATTAGACTGCCTAGCCTGTCAGGGCTGTGGGCAGGGGCAGCTAAGAGCAAAAAATGAGGCTTGGAGCCCTCTTACGGAGACCAGAGGTAATAAGAAGAGGCCCAATGTACGGAGTCATGTCACGACCTATGCCACGACCGAATGCATGACGCTACACGGCACGGATCAACGTATTACCGACAACATTCCTTAGACAGACACTCTAGCTACCTCAGCTTTCAATACAATTTGATTACTCAAGAATACTTGACATTATCAGACGTGATTCGCCACCCTACGCTCAGTACACCACGCCTCGTAGCAACTGCCAACATAAACTAAATCAGGTTATGGTTTACTACGTTGGGAACCTCGACTGTCACAAGTCAGACCTCTCATGGCTGCCGTATTTATAAGGTTGTGATTTATAATGACTAATATTGTTGGGACTTCTATCACCACCTAATTTAGCAGAGGATTTGAGTATCCTTTATTTGGCGCCTTCTAATTAGACCAGACCCCTCATCGTGACATCTTGGGAGGGCTTCGCGCACTCAGGAGATTGTGAGACCGGAGGCTTGTAGACTGTACCCGATGGATAAGCAATACCCCGCTCGAGTGACGACGTACTACAACCCAATGTAGCCGTATTACCCGATCAAGCTGGATCCATATATACTTTCTAGGCGCTATGACAATGATGTTACCACTTGCCGACGTAGCCGTGTTACCCGATCAAAATGGACAATGATATCACCACTTGCCGACGTAGCCCATTGTCCAGTGAGTCCGATAGGCTGCCGACAGCAGCAAGGGGAGGAAACTATTTGAGTCTTCGATCACCTTGCTGATGACCTTCCCAAGTCTTGATGCAAGCTCGATGCGCATCTGACGTACTCTTTTATCCCCAACAGCATCGGACGTTTCAACCATGCCTCTCGTCAGAATCGATATCGTGAAAGGGGTGCGGTCACCCGATCAAGTCAAGAAGCTTGCCGATGTGGTTCAGCGGGTGTTGCTCGATCATTTCAATGCTCCCCCTCGCGACCGTTACCAGGTATGCTTGTTGAAACTGTGGCTGCGAAAATTCCGTTCCAACACTCATCTCCCCAGAAGAAAAAAAGGGGGGGGGGGGGGAGGGAGGTAAATAAAAGTGTACAAGTATTGACAATAATGATTGTCAGATCATCACTCAGCACGAGGACTACGAGCTCATTTGCGAGGACACAAATCTAGGTCTTACGAGGTCTCGCGGATTGGTGGTCATTCAAATCTTCCAACAAGGCCGGACTGAAGAGCAAAAGAAGACCACATATAAGCATCTGTTTGAGAGTCTGTCTCGATACTGCGGGGTGTCTGGAGACGATCTTATCATCTCTTGTTTGGAGAACACACGGGCAGACTGGAGTTTTGGGAATGGAGAGGCTCAGTTCTTGACAGGCCGTTTGTAATATCACGAGCAAAGCACTTTGGACAAGTTCATGATGTTAGTTCTTGCATATAGAATATACCGTCGAGGACAAGATGCAGAGGACTTGTAAATAGGTTAAGAAAGATGGAGGGCGTCCTCGGACGCCGTTCGACATGCAAAGCTGTCTGATTGAAATATCCAGCATGTTTTAATGGGTTGCTTTTACCGTACTGTCGGCATATCCACTTAGCTCTAGTTTCCCTCACACTTCCCTAGTTCGCAGAGAGACAACCGTAAGCACGTCGAATCGGATGCAGAGGCTTTGTGGAGCCCAAAGAGGGATGGCACTAGTAGAGGCGATCGAATCATCAGTTCAGATCTCCCGCAGTTACTCACATCTACCGGTACAGGATTGCTTGGAAACCATGGCATGCACATTCGTTGCCCTGCCCTGGGCACTAATGGTGATCCCCTCGGTACTTGCATCCCGATCCAACCGCTTCATCCGTCCCCGTTGTCCGAATGGAACATGACACCTACCAGGCTAAAGCGCAGAGGATATAATGCATGAATTGCGCTGTCGTTCCCCATAGTCCCTCTCAGTAACAAGTAACTGACTGCTTTCTAAAACTGGAACCCGGCCAAGTTTTGTCTGCCTATACCTACGTCACTTTACAAAGTCACCATCCCACCATGGCATCGAGCTTAACTTTGCAGCAAATGTTTCCCTGGACACAGGCACCGTTGATATGCTCAGCGCCCATGCGTGGCGTCTCTGGCGCGGCTCTGGCCGTCGCCGTATCTGCAGGTGGTGGGCTTGGGTTCATTGCTGGCGCCGACGACGTTTCAACCCTAGAGGGCAAATTCGAAGCAGCCAAACGCCTTGTTGCCGAACAAAAGGCTCAGTCTGAAAGCCCGGAAGAGAACCCGTTGTTGCTCCACACCGGATCAACGCTTCCTGTGGGAGTAGGATTCCTTAATTGGGGTGCTGATATCGAAGTTGCACTTCCACTCATCGTCAAGTACCGCCCCGTAGCGGTGTGGCTCTTTGCCCCTCGCGATGGCGCTGCTGACCAGCACCCATGGGTACGACGGATTCGCGACCAGACGGACGGCGATGTATCAATCTGGGTCATGGTCGGAGATATTGGAGATGCGACTGATGCCATGAAGCATCTCCAACCTGACGTTTTGGTTCTTCAGGGCGCTGATGGAGGGGGCCACGGACTCGCTACCTCGGCCAGTATCCTGGCGCTTGTGCCAGAGATGGTGGACAAGCTTGTGGCAAGGCATCTCGACGATCCACTCCGCGCTCCTATTCCCAAAATTGTCGCAGCTGGAGGTTTAGTGGACGGACGTGGCATCGCAGCTGCGCTTATGCTTGGCGCCGAAGGTGTTGCCATGGGCACGCGCTTTCTAGCGTCATTCGAGTCAGAGATCACCAAAGAATACCAAAAGGCGGTTGTCGACACCCAAGATGGCGGTAGATTCACGATCCGCTCCCCAATCTTCGATAAAGCACGCGGCACCATTTTCTGGCCCCCCAAATACGCGGCACGCGGCGTCATTAACAGGACGTATTCCGATTTCGCACAAGGGAAGGTGACTGAAGCCGATAGCTTCTCGCAATATCAACAAGACTTGGAGAATGCGCAGGTCAAGTATGGTGTCAATGGTCGAATCAATACCCTTGTAAGCACCGCCGTCGGTCTTGTGAAGGAAGTGCTTCCCGCTGCCGAGATTGTCCGGCGTGTAAGGAAGCAGGCCAAGGCGGTACTTGATTGCAATCGGATGTCCAGGCTGTAATGGGCGAGGAGGGATACAACATATCTTTTTGGAATATCTTTCTGGGCTATCGAAAGGCTTGGCAGACGTCCTTTCCTTTTCCTTGGAGCAGCTGGTATGATTACCTGTCAGCTTCTTGCTAGTATTATCAACGTCACAGCTGGGACAACAAGGAGTGGAAATCATCTTGCTATTTCCGCAAATATTACTTTTATATACTTAAGTACTGCATCCTTTACTAAAACTTAGGATCTTGCAGCCAGGGTCGTTATAGGTAGAGATTTCCACTATGCTATTTAGTCCCGTAGTATTAGCTTACTAACTACTAAAATATAGTAATACCCTCACTAGAAGTAGGGAGGGCATAATAAAGTCCGAAGGATATATCTCTATGCTATAGAGGATTATCTAAGATGAAATTTTATATTATATTGCTTATATTACTAACTCTAGAAGCTATTAAGATTTTAAAAAGAAAGAGGATAGAAAAGGGGCTAGTTAAATTACTATTACCTCCGCTGGTCTTAGTCATAGACCTTTATTAGAATACCTACTAATCGGTTAAGACTTATAAAGCCTTATATAGAACTATTCTTACTATTAGGTAGCTTATTATAATAGAGAGATATCTATTTAAATAAGGCATCGATTATTAACCCCTTTAGTATCTTAACCCTCGATATTATAATATAGCTAAGCCTAATCTAAAAGTCCTATTTAGTAAGTTGGGGGAAAAGCGTGCTAAGCCATTTTAGGCTGCCAAGCAATTTCTTATACGTAGAAAAAGGAGGCAAAGGTCATAGAGCCTTACCTTTATTATCACTTTCGCGGGCCCCGATAAGAGGACTTTTAGGCTTCTTCGCGGGTTATATCTTTGTTACTATGAATTAATTAATTACTCTTATTATTTTATATTATATTTACCTCACGGGAAAGTATATAAGATCTCTCTTTTAAAAAGACCTTAAAAAGAATATATAGAAATTCAACTCTTTTAGCTATATAGTTTAGTATATTCTATTCCTCTAATAAATCTAATGCCCCTATATAGGATTTTCGGTACTCTTATCTTTCTAGATTATTAGCATATATTAAGAAGGATATATATTATTTAATTAGATAAGAGAGTATACTTTTATACTACTAATCAATAAACTATAAATATAACTATTACTATTAGGCTATAAGAGAATAAAATATTAGAAATTATTACGAATAGGAAGAGGGTAGGAATTAAAGAGACCCTAAGAAGCTATTAGTTAAAAAGGGAGACTAATTATAAATATATCTTACCTTCCCTTAACCCCGGGTTTAGAGATATTATTTAATTAAATTCCCCTTAAGAGTTAAGACTAAGATAAATCCCTAGAATACCTTACTAGAGGTAAATATAGGGAGATAGAGGTATTTACCTATTATTAATATAAAAGGAGACCGCAGTAATAATATATTATTAATATAGAAAATAGTATCTCTTAATAAGACTAATAGTTTAGCCTTACTTAAAGTGCCTAAAAGACTCCTAACTAAGTAATAATAAAAAGTCTTAGTAATAGGAATTCTTATTTAAATAGTTATAAAAAGCGAGGCTTTTATTGCCCTTATTTTTATCTTTATGACTTTTAAGGAAACCTTAATAGCTAACCTATTCTATACTAAAATAACTAAGAATCTAAAAGTAAAAAGCTAATTTTACTAAGAATTAACTAATTAAATATTTATTATTATAATTATTATTACCTTAACTATAAAGATAGCCTAGAATAATAAAGGTATTAACTTCGGAAAAAAGTCTAATAATATCTAAGGCCAGAACCTAGAGATAGGAAATAATAAGGCTACCAAAAGTAATAATAAGGTTAATAAGCTCCTCCTCGAATTCCTAACCAAAGGATTAAATAGTCCTTCTTTTATTATCCCTCTTAATCCTCTCCCCCTTTTTAAGGGAAAAGATATAACTAAGTACCTTAAGAACTTTAACTAATAGGCAAAACTTATAAATATCTCCGAGAATAAGAAGATAGTTCTCTTTAAGTTATATATTAATCCGGAGATTAAGAGAGAGGCCTAATAAGCTATAGATAGACTTAATTAGGAAGCTACCTAAGAGAGCCTAAAAGAAGCCTTTGCGAATAAAGATTCTAATTAATTAGAGATTATTAAAGAAAAACTAAAAATACTTAATAAGACCTATCTAAAAGTAGACTTCTATATTATTATTAAATAGCTAAATAAGTATTAATACCTCTTTAGGTAGATCGATAAGAGCTAAAAGATATCTAAGACTTAATCTAGGGCTATTTATAAAGTATTCCTTAAGGAGGTTATTAAAGGTATTTATAAAAGATATAATAAGAATATCTGCGAGCTTATAACTATAGAGTACTAGGTACTTACCTAAATAATTAAATAATACTATAAAAATAAGATTAAAATTCGGAAGACTTATTATCCTCGAAGCGAAGAGGATATCTATAGAGTTATATAGGCCCTAACTGCTCCTAGAAGCCTAAGCTCCTTCGTAAAAGCGACTAAGACCCTAAAGATCCTTAAGAAGGAATCTAACGAAGCTATAGCCTTAAAGATCGATTAATTAACCGCGTAGCTTAGCTAACTTATAATTAATATAGCAAAGAGGTAAGAATCTTAATTATATTTAACTTAGATCCTCGAGAGAGAATATAATAGATAGGTAGCCTTAGGAATACCCTAAGTATTTAGGATAAATATAGTATTATTTAATTAGATACTAAATAGCTAGGATTTCTATATTACTATAATATATAGGTCTAGATAAGGGAGTTCTAGGGCTAATATAGTATATTAGTATTATATAGGTAAAAATTACTTCCCAGATACTTATATAGATCTAGTATATAATAAGAAAGAGGGAATTATAAGCTATAATTCGTCTAGAAGGGCGGCCCTACTTAGAAGGGGGGATATAATATTATTACCTACGCTTATATACCTTTTTAAGTAGTTTGGAGTTAAGAAGCTTATTTATAATTAGCTAAAGTATTTCCCGGAGTCTAAGCTAAATTATTTAGTTAATTAGCTTAAAAAGTATAATAGAGTAGGCCTTAGGCTCGAACTAATTTAGCCTAAAGATAATATTATTAATAATTTCCTTTAGAAGAACCTTAGGGTTATAGAGCTCTATTGACCAAAGTATAAGGCCCCTAATAGATTTAATTGATTACCTATGAGTATAACCAGAGGCGACTGAGATATCCTGGATAATTAGAACCCGCTATAAGGGCCCTCTACTAATATTATCCTAGTTAATAAAGAGCTAGTATTATTTAATTAGATAAATACCCCTTAGGTCTTTACTATAATAACTATTACTATTAATATTAACGCGAGGAAGCGGGTTTATATTAAAGATATTATGGAAATATAGGAAGCCGCATAGCTTATCCGGAAGGTAACCCTAACTAAAAAGCCTATAGTTATAGAGAAAGAGAAAAACCTAGGATTTTAGATACTTAAAGAGAAATAAGCCTTTATTTTATAGGAGCTAAGGGACAAATATAAGATAAAAAAGATCTTAATTCTAGCTAATAAGCTATTTATATTATTACCTTAGCTAGGTAAAGAGGTAAGCGAGGATTATTAAGATATTACTAATAGTATTAAGTAGATTACTTATATTAAACCTATGCCCTATATAATTAATAGAGAGTAAAGATTATCTAATTAAAAGGCTAATAATATAAATATAATCTAAGTTAGCGAGTAAGACTAAGGGGAAGCCTATTAGAAGTTAATTAGCGAGAGAGTAGGCATAAATATAATCCTTATTAATAAAGAAACCTAGACTAAATAATCTAATAATTATATAAGTAAGCTTTAACCTAGTAATTATATTATTATAATAGACATAAGAATTACTATAGAAGAGATAAGGATAATAAAAGTCCGCTAAAATAAGCTAAAGCTAGAAGAGACCGCGATCCTTAGCATAGAGGGTAAAGAATTATTTAATTAAAAGGTTAATACTATTAAACTTATAGTTAGGTATTATAGCAGGGCGGTAGCCTAATCGTAAGAGCTACTGCGTATCTTTATAAGGCTTAATAATCTAGAAGGTAAGGTAGTAAAAGTAATAATAAATATAGGGTTAAAGGGAAATATTATTTCCTAGGAGCTTATAAAAGCTTATAGCCTTTAAATTACCCTGGCTTATACCTTAACTATATCTTTCTCTTAAGACTATATTATAATACTAGGCTAAACGACTATCTAGCTATACCTAGGCAATATATAGATATAATAAAAGATATATATCGCGCCTTTAGCTAGGATCTTAATTCCCTTTATTCTCGGTATACCTTTTATCTACTCTATAAAGGTATTATTTAATTATTTAATTAAGGATAGTATTATGCTCCTCTAATGCTAATTAGGTAATACCTAAGTTATTATCTTAGCTATTAGATCTATTAAGTAGGAAGCCCTTACTTATGGAATAGATAATAGTATGCCGCTAAAATAAATATTAATTTTCTCTCTAAACCTAAGGTTAACTAAGAGAGTAATTTAGAATTAGATAATATCCCGTCCTTATTATGATAAATAAGTCGGGAGTTAGGGGAGGAGGTAATTAATATCATTAGATTAATAATAGCTAGATAATATAAAGTAGCCCTATAGGATATAAATTAAATAATTAAAAGATAATTAGGGAAGAAACGCGAAGTCTAAAAGGACTAAGGCTTAATAACAAAGGGAAAGCTAGAGGAGATATTAGTTAATACCCTCTATAAGAGAAAGGGGGTAAAGATTTACCTACGCGATGATATTTTATTAGATAGATCTACCCTAGAGGGAGACCTAGAGTAAAAAGAGAAGAAATAAAAGAAAATAAAGGAGAAATTATAAGAGGATTTAAAATACCGAGAATAAATTATATTAAAATTCTCTAATATCGAGAAGGGAACTTAGATTAAGGGAGATAGGCTTTAGGGACTAATTAATTAAATAAAAGATACCCTTATACCTAAAGAATTAGATATCTTTCTCGAGATTATATATAATAGAGAGGCGATATTTACGTAGGAATTCTTAGAGTGCAAGAAGCTTAACTTACTTATAGCGCCTTTATAAGTTATTAAGGTTATTAAATATAAAGCCTAATAGGCAAGAAATATACTTATTCCTAAAGGATATAAGAAAGATATTATTAGACTCCTAAGAACCTAGCTAGAGAGAGGAATCCTCGAAGAAGGTTATAGCCCTTATAAGAACTTATTCTTTCTTATTTAAAAGAAGGATAATTAATTTCAATTAATTAATTCGGCTACTTTAATAAATAAATATACTATAAGGGATAG